ATATTAATTTAAAATATTGAAAAATTTTAAATATTATAAATTTTTAATTATTTCATAAAAATTTTAATAATTATATATACGTTTAAATATTTTTAAGTAGATAAATTTAAAAAATAAAAAAATATTAAGGATTAATAATAATATACTATAATGTATTAAAATGTCAGATAATTTACTTCAGAAACTACTGATAAAAAATATTGTTTATTTAGTATATACATTTTGAAATTCATACATATTACAGTAAGAAATAATTTAATTTAATTAATCCTATATATTCGAAAAAGTAGGACAAAGATACATTTTTTAAATATAAATTAATGATTGGTGAAGAAAAATGAATTATATATGAATATGCTACATAATTGGTTGTTAACTATATAAAAATATTTGATAGGTTCGTTTAGGTTCGTTCAGTGTTCTTGGTTTTTTGTATTTCGTGATTACGCTTCTCTCTGACCGGTACCACCATCTTGTTTGTTTCATCAATAAAGAGAGTGTAAGACTTAAAGGACGATTAAAGTTTTTTAAGGTGTTTTTATTTGTGTCTGGTATACAATAAATTCAAATAAAAATTGCGAATATGTCTCACGGTGGTAGAAATGAATGTAGAATTTACGTGGGCAATTTACCTCCTGACATAAGAACGAAAGATATTCAAGACCTTTTCTATAAATTTGGTAAAGTTATTTTTGTTGATTTAAAAAATCGTAGAGGACCACCGTTTGCTTTTGTCGAATTTGACGATCCAAGGTACGTTTAATAAGTATAATTACATAACAAATTTTTTATTTTGTATGTGCTATACAATACTAAATATTATATTTATTACTCCATTATATTTCATTTTTTCTAAACTTGAAAACATCTCTGAAATTTTTAATTTTATATTTTAATTAAAGTAACGTTATTAATGTTATATTAACTAATATATCATTTATTATATGTAATAGTTAATTTTAACATTTTAAAGTTATATACAAATTATACTAGGATTGTTACTATATGTAATCTTTTTCAGAGATGCTGAAGATGCAGTACATGCAAGGGATGGATATGATTATGATGGTTATAGACTACGTGTTGAATTTCCAAGAGGTGGTGGTCCTAGTAATAATTTCCGTGGTGGTCGTGGAGCAGGAGACAGTGGAAGAGGTGGTCGAGGTGAAATGAGTAACTCTCGAGGACGTGGCCCACCTGCAAGAAGATCCCAATATAGAGTTCTTGTTACTGGTTTACCTCCTTCTGGTAGTTGGCAAGATTTGAAGGATCACATGCGTGAAGCTGGTGATGTGTGCTTTGCTGATGTTTATAAAGATGGGACTGGAGTTGTTGAATTCTTACGATATGAAGATATGAAGTATGCTGTGAAGAAGTTAGATGATTCAAGATTTAGGTCTCATGAGGTATAGTGTAGATTTATATAAAATGATATATGATTTTATTATTTTATTGTATATGATTTTATTGTTTCAAAAATTTTGTATACTTGTACATTACATGATTTTATCTTTATTGGTAGGGTGAGGTAGCTTATATTCGAGTGAAAGAAGATCATAGCAGTGGCGATAGGGGACGCAGCGAAGATAGAGAGAGAGGGCGAAGTCACTCGCGAAGCTATAGTCCACGGCGCCGTGGTTCTCCTACCTACTCACCATTGCGACGTAATTACTCGCGATCAAGATCTCGTTCCAGATCTCGTTCATACGACTAGTGTGTACGTATATGTTTCACATGGTAATATAAGTAAAGGCTTATCAATATTTGCTTTACCATGTTTCATTATTACTGATTTGAATTTCACTTAAAGACACCTTCCAATCCAAACCAATTTTGTACAAATTATAAAATTATTTCTATGTTGCTTGAATTTAATAATTGTATTGTATCTAATGTATAGTTAGAGCACGGTTCATTTTAGATGTATTAAAACTGTTTTTTCAAAGAATTTGTCATTCTTTAAATACTTTTAACTTATGTCTATTAGAGATTAATTTGGAGATATATCGTTTACAAACTCGTGTTTAAAAATGATTATTTGAATAAACCTGAAAGAGCAGTTAGACTATCCAACAGTAAATATTGACATAAAATTTTATTATCTTAATTTTTTGTCTCGATAAAGAAGAATCGTGCTCATATTAATTGCATACTATTGTTGAAGATATACTGATTAGAGTTACTTTTATGTTTAAAAATACATTCCTTTATATTTTGCAATTCGTTTTGACACTACAACTATATTTAAAATGTGTAACAATTTTGAAGTATTACAAATGAGAAACTAAAAAGAAGTGACTAATAGTACTTCAATAATATTACTACTGTTCACACTAAAAAATAGTATTTGTTGTACAGCTATCAATATAGTCTATGTTCAGTGTGAATGTTTTCATTTGCTAATATAAGACATGATTTATTCACATTGTACTTTGTGATATTATAATTGATAGTTGTACTGTAATACTTAATGTGAACGTGATCTTTTTGTTTTCTCCACGTTTATTTATTCACATTTGCAGTGATGAGTACAGCACATTTTATAGCATATATAACAAGAAATTTTTTTAAGCTTCTAATGCTGAATGCTTATCATATACGTTCATAAAGCTAACATTTTTCTTATTCTTAGCAGCTCAAAATTATTCTCTATATATTAAAATTTTAATTTTAATATGCATATATAATATGCAGGATAAAAGAGAGTATTGCATAATAAATATATCATATTAAACATTTGATTAAAATATCTTTCTTACTATAGTGATTTGTTACAAAAGTTAAAAAATTATTTCTTTATTCAATTTAACAAAATTTATAAAAACATTATTACAAACTTAAATTCATTATAAAGTTCCTTTCTTCTTGCAAATTTTGATTAATTTTTATAAACAATTAGTGTATGGATAAATACATCAAGGTTGTTTACACGGCTCATCGTCGTTTAAGTTATCACACAAATTTAAATATTTTCATTTTGGCTATCTAGTGATGACAATACAAAATATTATATGTGCTGAAAATATAACACTTAATACCTAGATAATGTAATACATCGATATCCACGACGGATAGTACATATAGGACATAATATTTGATAAATATAGGTAAAAGATTTATTTTTTACTAATAGATTAATATTCATATGACCAATTTGCTTTAGAAAAAACTAATATAACTATCATTTATTATGCACTCACATTGTTTATTCGATATAACAGCAGCTTAAAATATGTCTTATGTATTTGAGTGTTCTTTAACGACGATTATTGGGCCATCTTTTTGGTTTGATAAAAAAACTGTTATGTATCACTTTAAAATGAAAAAAGCAAACACCTAACTCATACTGAAATTATTATTAAGAGTATAATATGTCTGTTACAATTATTTGGACTTCTGTGAAATATTGAAGTAAATTTTAAGTTATACACGACATATCCTGAGAAATGTGTTTTTATCGATCAAATAAGACACTTGAAAATAATATTCTGCTACACATTTCTCATTTAACGTTTTCCTTTTTAAAAGTATACAGACAATTTCTTTAAATTTTGCAATCCATGCCTAAAACATACCTTTTTTAAAATTCTTAATTAAATATGTTGAAGGAAAACAATGATTTCGTGTATTCTTGAGAATATTATTATTGCAAATTGATCCTGTGATTTCTATTTATTTTTTACATTATTTACATAGACCTAGTAAATGTAAAAATGATTCTAAATTTAAATTAAGCAGATACAAAATGTTGATTTGTATAGTATTTGCTCAATTTATAAAACATAATATTTGAATATTGTAAGTCACAGGGATCATATTTGCAGTGATAAATTTTATATATAACATTAATGCATATTGTATAAGGGACTAATGTATTTTTTCTTCTTTTGTATATTGGATTGGATTGTAACACAATGAATGAAAAACTGAAATCGACACGATCTTACTTCTTGGATGGATATAATACACATTCGCTTGACGGTGGGATGAGATGGAATGCGTTTTGGATGGATTTATGTATGGAGCATATATTATAAAAAAGGATTAAGAGAATGCAAAAATAATGAGGCATTAAGGATACTTTCAAGAGGAAATTCAGGATCAGGAATTCAGGAAAGGAATTGGATGAAAGACACAATCCGTTTCATTCAAGGATTCTCAATTAGCTGGATTTTCATCAGAAAACGTTGGCAAATCCATTACAAGGATTTAAAATGATTATCCATATTTTTGTCTTTTGAATCGTTAAACAAACGTAATTGGTTTGATAAAAAAACTGTTATGTATCACTTTAAAATGAAAAAAGCAAACACCTAACTCATACTGAAATTATTATTAAGAGTATAATATGTCTGTTACAATTATTTGGACTTCTGTGAAATATTGAAGTAAATTTTAAGTTATACACGACATATCCTGAGAAATGTGTTTTTATCGATCAAATAAGACACTTGAAAATAATATTCTGCTACACATTTCTCATTTAACGTTTTCCTTTTTAAAAGTATACAGACAATTTCTTTAAATTTTGCAATCCATGCCTAAAACATACCTTTTTTAAAATTCTTAATTAAATATGTTGAAGGAAAACAATGATTTCGTGTATTCTTGAGAATATTATTATTGCAAATTGATCCTGTGATTTCTATTTATTTTTTACATTATTTACATAGACCTAGTAAATGTAAAAATGATTCTAAATTTAAATTAAGCAGATACAAAATGTTGATTTGTATAGTATTTGCTCAATTTATAAAACATAATATTTGAATATTGTAAGTCACAGGGATCATATTTGCAGTGATAAATTTTATATATAACATTAATGCATATTGTATAAGGGACTAATGTATTTTTTCTTCTTTTGTATATTGGATTGGATTGTAACACAATGAATGAAAAACTGAAATCGACACGATCTTACTTCTTGGATGGATATAATACACATTCGCTTGACGGTGGGATGAGATGGAATGCGTTTTGGATGGATTTATGTATGGAGCATATATTATAAAAAAGGATTAAGAGAATGCAAAAATAATGAGGCATTAAGGATACTTTCAAGAGGAAATTCAGGATCAGGAATTCAGGAAAGGAATTGGATGAAAGACACAATCCGTTTCATTCAAGGATTCTCAATTAGCTGGATTTTCATCAGAAAACGTTGGCAAATCCATTACAAGGATTTAAAATGATTATCCATATTTTTGTCTTTTGAATCGTTAAACAAACGTAAAAAATATTATCTAATCGTGATATAGCAGTGTTTCTGCGTTGATGAACTAAACGGAAAAAAAAAGAAAAAAATGCCGTATTTAAAAATGCAGAATGAACATCTTCGATACATTACGTGGTTTTATAGAGATTTTTTAATCGTTCAGTGTTTGGGTTTTATTACATTCACGCGATTTTAACATTAATAAAGCGAGAAAGAAATAGAGAGTGATTTTCGCGATTTTTCTCTTACGTTTTGTACGCTCTAAAGAAAAAGAAAGAACAAACTGGTAATGGAATGTCAACATTGCAGAGTTTTATTTTATATTATAAAATATTTACTAATAGTTTCGTATGTCAGACATTTGTAAGTCGAGAATTATTTTTATCGTTATCGAAATGATAACTCTGATTCTCGTCATCAAAGAAAAACTCTATTGACCGGAAGTATCATATGTTTCATTCATCGGCACTGAGTGATCGATGATTCGCGAGAACACACGAAAAGGATATAAGACTGGTGCCTTGTTTAACGCGAGGAAATCATCTCATTGAGAAATCTGCCTCGCTTCTCGTTTGATTCGTGTAACATAAGAATTAGCATAGGCAATATACGATCGAACTATCTACTCCGTGTTAGCGTTCCTCAGGATCGTGGAGAACGAACAGTGGTCCTCCAAGAGAAAACTATCGCATTGCAAAATAGTGTTTCCACGGGTTCGGCTTTTACTTCGAGATCGAAAATCGTCCGATTGCTCTCCTCTCGGTCGTTTCGGTAATTGTACACGTTGATCAATCGTGAGCATGTGTATATACATTTTGATACGTGTGTTATAATATAGTAAGAACTTACACCTCTTCGGGACCTTAATGCGCGTGCAAGAGGATATTAATGTTCGGGTCAGAAAATAAGATGAATCCTTCATCTTGTAACAAGGACCTGGCTCTCCCTAGTTGTAGAGGATCTCCTGAGATGAAAAAAAAAAATGATAAAATGGAAGGACAGGATTCGGCAGAAAGATATGGTGTGTTGGATTAGGATGCTGACAGGATAAGATTAGTGTTCATGATGGAATTTTGGATAACGGATAAATTGGCTGGAAATATTCTACGGATTCTGTAAATAAACGGATCACTTGCATCTTTTGACCGGACAAAATATACGATAACGCCGTGTTCATGCCGTGTGGATGGATTTGGATTATCGAGATATTGATCAATTATATATAAAGAAAAGCAAAACGTGTGGCTGCGCTCGTTTATGCTTCAAATAGGTTTCATGGATTTATCGCCTAGGTCGGATATGAGATTTGGATTTGCACTTATCGGGATCAATACAGGAATTAAAAAAAAATAGTCGGATATCATTTTTCGGATTACACGGATGATCAAAAACGGATGATGCGATTTGCACACACTCGCTGTAAGGTATTTGTTCAAGTTTAATATCTCTGACGTCCCTTCGATATACATATTTTTCTGCATGCATTCTTCTAAATGATACCAAAAGTCCTGGCAAAGAATTAAAAAAAAAAAAAAAAAAAAAAAAAAAAAAAAAAAAAAAAAAAAAAAATAAAAAAAGAAATTTCTACTTTTTGATTTTTTTTACCGATCAACTTTTTGCGAAACTAACTTAAACGAGTAACAGATATAATATTCGTCTGTTTGAAAGATCTGTTTCAGTGTGTTTACATTAATCGTTTATCATATTTATGTTCAGCTTACACGTACACTTTAAATCTTAAGGATTGAAAAATTTGTGTGAATATATATATATAAGTATATACATATCACGCACGCACACACACACACACACACACACACGTATAAACATGCATAATATATGCACACAAATTTTTCAATCCTTAAGAAGAAGTTTCTCTCACAAATTTTTGGCAGAGTGAATGTCCGTTTCCTGATAGTAGTATTAACCTTTCCTCAATAGTTATCCAGTCATTCTTTTAATTAGAAACCTTCGCATTACGTTTGTTACTCCTCGACGATAAGAGGAATTTTATAGAACTCCTGATCGTCGATATTTGTTCAGGAAACAGGAATAAAAATATTTGTTTTATTACTGGTACGTTTTTGGATATATCCTGAATTCCTTTCCTCAACTAATGTTTATTATTACAAATTAATATCTCAATTATAATTACACAATTAATATCGATCGATTGTAAATTTTTTTCATGTATTTGTTCAAGAAAGCAGTGGTCAGTGATCGAAAGATGGAAGTATGTGAGTATGGCTTCAATCTTCTTCAATTTCAACAAAATACTAAAAAATCATGTTACAAGAATGATAATTTTGATTTTTGTTTACTAAAAAGGCACAAAAATAATCTTTTTTGTGTTAAAAAAGATATTTTATTTAGATGCTTATTATATATAATAAATATAGATTGGTTTCAAGTTAATTTATAAGAAGTATTTGTAATAAATCTTTCAAGGAATATTTTCCAATGGTTGAGGTAATATAGATCGAAAATTAGGTGAGTAATGTGAAAGAAGGAAGAGAATATAATACTATTAATCTGTTATCAGTTCTGTTCAGATGATCTATTGGATCAAGAGGGAAATAAACTTCCGCTGCTCTTGGATCAATGAAGTTACGATTGTTTCGTAAAATCAGTTCTAACGCTATTGCAATTAGTATTTCTTACAAACATTCTGCAATTATAAAATTTATTTATTTGATAGTAAAGAACAAACGAAATTTAATTTTATTATAAGTGTTTTCTTTCTTATATTGTATTACGTCACGTGACAATGAATAAAATATTTTTCTTTCCTGAATCGTTTACAACTTTTTACGAATAAAATGACTGTCTTACGAAATAGCGCCGAATTATTTAAATAACAACCAATGTATATTGCAAAATATTTATTTTTTATATTTACAAACGTTAATTGTCATGTTTTATGTTAAACAATTAGTGAAGTAACGAACGACATCCAGTTATTATTTTTACATCGATTCGCGGATCGGCGTGACTACCAGCTCTTTGATCAGAACGTTGTCAGGGCATTGCAACGAGAAGAGGACACAGTCGGATACATCTTTGGGTTTCAAAGCTAAGCGAGGATTCTCTTTTAACCATTGTACAGACATTTCGGTTTCCACTAAGCCAGGAGAGATGGACTACGATGAATAAATACATACATTAATCATTGAGAATAAAATTTCAAAGATACAAATTTGAAATCAATGTAGTTTTGGAGGTAAGGATAAATCTAATTGAAAACTTACGATGACTTTGATGTTAGATTCAAGTTGTGCCAACTCAGATCTAAGGCTTTCCGTCAAGGCATTCAAAGCAGATTTACTCGCTATATAAGCTGGGGACATCGGACGATCACAACAACTTGATGCTTTCAATCCACAAACATCATTAATATTTAGAATGACACCGTTGTCAATACCTGAAAGACAGAAGTAAGAAAGTGTTAAAAATTCGTATTTTGAAACATATTTTTTCAAGTTCTTAGATTTTAAAAAATGCATACCCTTCTTCTTCATTAACTTCAGAACTTCCTTGGTCATGCAAGTTAGTCCAAGGAAGTTTACATCGAAGACTTTCTTCCAGTCTTCCATCTCACCAGATTGGAACGAGACGTCAATGTTAATAGCGGCATTATTGATAAGGATATCTACGGCTCCTAGGTTCTTCTCGGCCCATTCTAAAACACGCAGGATGGCATTCTGGTTGGAGAGATCACACTGAAGAGGAAACAGTTTTCCAGGTTTCGATTTTAGCTCCTCGGCAAGTGCCTATTTGAAAGAAAAAGCATAAAACTTGAATTCTATAAATAAAGATACATTAATCATTTTTAATTAGAAAAGAAGCAAGGACGTGAAGGAAGTGAAATTTAAAATCTACCGAGTTCACTGAATAAAACTTCTTTACAATTTATGTGGAAGGTCCAAATAGAATAACTACGAATAGAAAATAACAATGGTTCACACTATCCATAAAAGAAAGCCAGGAATAAGTGAAGTTGTCTTAAATCTATTAAGTATATAATGAAATTTGTTTGTAATTCTCATGAAAAATTAATAACGAAGATGATCCTTTCATTACAGAAAAAGAATTAATTATGAAGCTTTTTTGCTTGTCAGTTGTTAACTGTTTAAGGAATATTTTTCATGAAACATACCTTTATTTTGTCAACTCGGCGAGCAACGCCAATAACTTTCAATCCTTTGCCAACGAGGCATTCTACTAGGCACTTGCCGATGCCAGAGCTAGCTCCAGTGATCAAGGCAACTTTGTCGGCCCAACGTTGTTCCATGTTTGCGTATTAGATGTGTATTCTTTTACTTGTAATTACACGACTGAGAACCGTGGAACTGAAACCACAAAATGTGTATGCATTTCGAAGCACCGGCGCCCGTTTTTATACTGGAGTGAAATTGTGGCCCAAGATTACCGAGGTCGCGTTAATCTTCAGACATAGAGATACTTCACCCAGTCTTTGTTCCACTATGGTTGTGCTTGTATTTGCATCCAAAACGATATTGCATTATTTGCAGGAATAAATCATACGGGGTGTTGATATCCTTATAACGGTAGACAGTTCGTTTATTACAGATAGGATATGTTTTGATATGCAATTGACTTCTTTGAAAGAAATTTGCCTAATTATCTATACTATTTTATTTTTTTTCTGATAGGAAAGAAGAGATATGAATTTTATTAATTACACAATTCTCTATTGATAAAATAAAATGGTATAATTAATTGTATAAAATAAAATTCAGAATTTATTAATAAAAAGAAAGAGTTTCTAGTGAAATTTATTATTCTGGACTATATCTACAATTAATTCACCTTTTTTACAAGGTTGTGTTACACATATATGTAGTTATATTTGCTCAGATAGGTATATTTCTATAAAAGGTTTAACATGGATGTTTTTTTTTTTAAATATGTATAATATGTTTACTACAAGTAAGGACAACGATAAAAAGAGATACAGGTATCTTCTTCAAGAGTAACGTTTTGTAAATATTGCGTCAGATACATATTTTTAACATTGCTTCACTTGGTGAGTGAAGCTTATATGATTTATTACCTTTGAAATAATAATTTCATTTACTGAAATATTATAAATTCATCCCTTTTTTAACTTCCTTAAAATACACTGAAATTCAATTAATACAATCTGTTATGAAAATTGCATAAATATTTTTAAAGATTTAGGTAGCTTTCGAGTAGGTGCAAAGCGATCGATAACTTCTTCGATATCTTTATCGTCATACAAAGCTTGATACAAATCCTCATTTAGTTCGCGAACGAATCTCAAACTATCGGCTGCGGTTTCACAGGACTGTTTCTTTCGCATATTCTGCTTATTTTCAATCTGAAATTGACTACGAGCTTTATATAATAGAGCACGACCACGTTGTATACGTAATTCTTCTAATGGTATTCCATCTTCGTGGAGTATTCGAAGTGCTTGGTTCACTATGTCTATGGTGCGTTTTGAATGTCCCTTGTTTACCGCCGCTTCTGCTTTATCGTTTAGAATATCGATTATTCGTTCCGTTAGATCGATAGTCTTTCGAGAAACTGGTAGGTTCAGCTGACGTATCTTTTCACGGCATTTGAGGTATGACTTCAATGCCAAATCGATATCTTTACGTTTTACAAAACAGTCACCCAATAATATATACGGTTCCGCGTAGTGCTTAACTAGGTTACTTTTATATATAATTCGTATTGCCATGTCTAGCTTATCTTCTAGCATACACTTTAACGACATATCGTATCTGTAAAATGAGAGTTCGAAATTTTTTCGCGCGCAAACGTTCTATAGTGCAGTGTAGTGTATCGATACTGTTCTGTGATCGATAATGTAGCAAGTTCAGTTATGTTTTCATCAAAAGACGCGCGTGTTCCATGTTTGAAAGTGTGAAGTGTGAAATGGGAAAAGATATTCATGTTTTTTCATAGGACGTTACTCAGGAAAATTCTGAAGGTAAATCGAAGAATGATATATGTTTTATTATTAATATTTTTACCGTATTAAATACCATTGTTTGATCAATAGGTCCCTCGTTTCACTAATCGAAAACTTTCCCATGATTGATTTTTCTTTGTCTCTTGTTGGTTCTAGTAGTTTGTAGAAATTGTTACTGAGACTTTCTAACCAAGAATTTGCTTCTTCGAAACGACCAGATAATCGTAAAACTATAGTTTTTAATAAAGTAAATCCTGGATTATACGGATTACAACCTAATGCTTTTTCGACTGTAATCAAAGCCTTGTCGTAACAATTGTGCATGCACCATATGACGGTATACGCTGCTAACGTGTGACTAGTACTAAATATAACCTATATGTAAGTAATATAATATACATTAAAAACATAAAATAATTAATTCGTGACATTTACAACAAGGAGATATAAAATAATGGAATAACAAATTGCAATTTGTATTATAACCTCTTTGTATTAATCGGTTTAAATTTCAATATTTCATGTAATGATTAATGGAAAATATACATTTCCATTCAATAACCAAAGTTTCAAATTTCGAATGCTATTTCTATGAAGAATGAAGATTATTTTCGAATGGAAGAAAGCAATTAGCTAAGAAATAAAATAAATAATGAAAAATTGAAGATTTTTAAGGAAAACAAATTTTTAAAATGCGGAAAATTCTATCGGCGATTTTATATACTGAACGGAACACTCGGTGTAAATTATTCGAAATGTTTCCATCGGATCATAGAAGCCCCAGCCATCGTCTGTGCAGTCTGCGGTCGTGCGGCTGCGGTCGCGGAGGAATTAGCGCGATTTGTGGTCTCCGTTTACGCTGCTTATTTTTGCGTGCCTGGAGATGCGGTTAGACGCGAACTCTACCTGGCCAAGCCTAAATCCGGAGATCATCAGCAGTCGTGGAGTTACTTCCGTGCAACCAAGTTCTCCTACTCTTCTTTGTCAACCTCGTCTTGGTTTGATTGTAAAATCGAAAAGAGGACGGAAAAAAATGGAAATATTGGAAACATCGAAGGGTAAACCTATGGTCCTCTATAAAGGTTATCAATTTCGTCAGTATAGGCGTAATGGAGAAGTAATAACCTGGCTCTGTTTGAATGAAAAGACATGCAAGTGCAAGGGACGAATGGCCACTAGAAATGGAGAGATTTTGAAATTCGTAGAACACACTTGCAAGCCCGATTTGGCCAAGTGTGAGGTGAAGAAGCACGTGGCTATAGCGAGGAAGAGGGCAAAAGAGGAAGTGCTGCCTATTGCTCAGATATACAAAGAGGAAGTGGGGCAGCTGGTAAATAGGGGATATGAATTCATTACCGATATTCCGACTTACTCGTCAGTGAAGAGTTCCTTGTACAGGCTAAGGCGTGGCAAGCATGGAGAACGCGAGGAATCAAATGGTAACGAAGGAATAGTATTCGTTGCACAGGACTGAGAGGATTTATTCCAACGAAAAATCTTGGTTCTAAGAGGAATAACATTAACATTCTTAAGAATTGGAAGACTCTAATAATTCTTCTTTGATTTGAGCAAAGTTTAAGAAGATATTTAATATAGGAAATTCCTAGGAAAATAGTAGAAGAAGGTAGCAAATAAATTTCTGAAGTGAAACAGAGAGATATACCCATGGTGTTGAAATTGTGTATATAAATGTATTGTGTTCACTACTTTGGTATATTATAATTGATGATTGTTTCTATACTTTCTAATTTTTTAAATAAATTAATGGCAAATATTGTATATTCCTTATTTATGCTATAATTAATTTTAATATTAGTTTATATATTTTTAAACTTATAAAAAATATTCTGGATATTCCATTATTTTTATCCGTAAATTGATTGAACTTTAAATTACTTTTTTTCCATTATTATTAAGAAAATACGAACTTGTAATAATTCTTGAGCCTGTTCATTGTCTTTGTTAAGAGCGAGAGCCTTCAGAAGCATGTGCCTAGCAAGTTCCGTTTCTCCCAGATAAATTTTGTATTCTGCGTGCATGGATAACAAAGCAGAAGTTCTCAGGGGATCAGGGTTCATTATAAATTTGTCCCAATATCTTCGGAACATGTCGTATTTGAGTAACTTCCGTAGGATCTCTAACAATCTATCCTATAGATTTATATATATTACGGTGTGCGATATTTTTAATATTTATCTCCGATATTAATTTCACTATTTGCATACTTGTATCTTCGTTATATGTATACCAGGTAATTTATAAATGAAAATCTGTTCATAATCTCCCAGTGCTTCTAGTAATAAATTATTTCTGTAGTACCAGTCTCCTCTTTTCACATAAGCATCGATTAAATGATCATTGTATATCGTTTTCAATTTTCCTCTCGACAATGCGCTATCGAATTTGGCCATCGACTTCGCGTTCTCATAGTTCTTGATGGCCTTCGTCCATTTTCCTTAAATCGAACAATTTTCTGTAATATTCGTGGTTTCTTGTAAACAACAGAATTTACAACGCAGATATAGCATCAAATCTGAGATATAAGAATATTCTAGAGTATAACAATTTGAAAGGAAATAATTGATAAATTTGGTCGCCAAAAATTAAAAAAGAAATTATAAGGAAAGGGGAAGGGGAAAACTTTTTTAAAGTAAATAATTCAAGCCTTTATTTTCTTATAGAAACATTCTAAATTTCAATACAAACAGCTACAAATTACATAGAATTACAAACCTAACTGCTAATTTCTGCTAATTTAACCACCAGCGAGGATACGATATATTCTACATATATGTATAAAAATTAAAGTCCAAACTTAAATTTATCTATAATCGGTATCGTGTTATGATAGTTTTATGTCATAGTTTCAAACCTTGAAGCAAGTGAACGTCCCCCTTTAAAGCATGAAGCGGGTGGAAGCTCGGATTGTAAAACAATCCTTTGTTAATTAAACGATAGACTCTCTCCAATTTTTCCCCCTCCTTCAATAGATTACTCGCTTCCCTCAATAAACGTTTCGATTCCCGTATTTCCTGTCTCTTGCTAAGCAGCTTGTGGGTACGCCATAATTCTCCTAACTAGTTCAATCACACGTATGTAAAAGCCTTGTAGCTCAATCCAATTACCACCAACTTCTCCAATTATTGTGAAAAAAGTGTTCTCTTTAATTTTCACGTTATTATATTTTTGTATCGTTACATTTCTAATACGATACTTATACATAGAATAAATATATATTGCATTCTAATTGCCTATAATTTTTAATTCAGTTCTCACGGAATAAATATATATTCCATTCTAATCGCTTATAATTTTAATGTAATATTTAGGGAATAAACATTACGCTAATATCAAAGAGATGTAAGGGTATAGAGATCTCACTTTCATAGCTTCCTTAAAAGGGTGCTGGTAACGTGTTTCCGGTGGAGCGAAGGCCTTCTTCTTTTCGGCAAGCTGAATCATTTCCATCGCAGGAAAACGTCGTTTTTAGATGATAATTAAATAGAACACGAGGCAGATAGGTTATCTATAAAATAGACTGGAGGAAATGGAAAAACAGATAAAAGATGCGTGTCTTCGCGAACTTCGTTGTTTTTAATTCCTACATCGCCGATTGAACGGAAAACCTAAAATATTCGGACGATTCTTTTCAGAGGGAAGATCGAGAATAGTTATATAAAGTTGATAACTTTCTTTATGCAAAAGGGAGAAAAATGAATATTAAAAAATTAACGGAGTGGAAGTTAGGGGTCTCAAATTGGGGTACATATTAGTATTAGGGATTTGAAGTTAGTTTAAAGTTTCCTAAAGTATAATGGTGTATATAGTAGCGTTGAGATACTGAAATATTAAGAATTCGTCAAGTTAGTTTTAAAAATCTGACATAAAGCAAATTGTTACCGGTACCAGCTGCACGTGACACTAAATCGGTAATAAAATTAGCAACTAGGCAAGTTCTTCGGGACTTTTGGTCCATAGAGTATATACCTTGTCCTATTCTATTCTGTTTTCCATCTATAACGATCGTTTGTGCGGTAACTAGTGTAACGAATAATTAGTTCTAACAATAGTATAACTAATCTCGAATCGTTTCCCGCTTTCACTACCAAGATTCTCCCAGAGGTCGCAGAATGATATCTTGTACCTGAAAACACAATTTGGTATTAATTTTGATACACAGAGTGTGCATCAAAATTTTGATATTAATTATATGTATGTTGCCCTTGAACTTGTGTTCAAGAGGAAGGTTGATATTATGGGGTGTTTAATTTACACGATAAAAAATTTGTTGGGTCAAGACCACGGAATAATCTCGAGCAAAATGTATATTATTTTCTTTTTCGAAGATGTTTGTAATCGTTCTAGATTGTTGTTCATTAATTATCAAACAGTTATTATAATTTTACTCACAACGACATGTGGAGCACATGTTAGGATGTACACCGCGGCTGTGGCGACGTCTTTTGGATCTAGTGTGGGAAACGATGCTAGCGCCTCCTCTGAATACGTGCTATAGGACACCATTAACTCCGTGGCCACCAGTCCCGGGCTGATACCCTATAAAAATAGAAATAGAAATTTCAAGGGTCTTTAGAGATTAGATTATTTCCTTTAATGAAATATTTTAAATAAAAAATTCTCATAGAGAGAGACTAAAGAAATTCATGTAAATTTCATGGCACCTATTGTAACTTCTCTGCAAATGTAAAAAGTTTAATTTCTAATCTTCTTTAAATTTCAAAAGCATATATCTATTAAGTTTATTAGGAAGTGATTAACTAGGACTATTTACTTGTAATGTGTATCTAATATACAACATTGGTGTTAATTAAAATACAATGAAAATGAAGTCTAGAATGCTGCATATTTTCAGCAATTCTAAAAATGGAGACTGGAGTCTTTCTATGATAATTTTTCATCTTCTTGTTGGGTGGTTAGATAGTAGTTAAATATGTACCGTCACTCTAATTTGGGTTTCCGTGAGTTCGTGTCGCAGAGTCTGTGCCAGAGCAGTGATGGCTCTCTTTGAAGCTGGATAAACGGAGAACCCAGGTATAAAAGGTACTCTCTCACCCGCAAGACTGTTCACGTTTATAATGACACCCTCCTCCCCTGTTTCACGCATCATGCGAATCGCTTCCTTAGTGCAGAGACACAATCCAAAAACATTCACGTCGAAGACAGCACGCCAATCCTCTAAATTGCCATCTGTGGGTTCGACAAACACATTACGGTAATTAATTAAAAATTTCGAAAATTTTTAATTAATTCGATACTTTGTTAACTTCGAGATAGAAAATTTTTGGGATAAACGAATTTTTATTTATTTCGGTATTAAAGTTATTATGTAATATTTGATATTAAAAATTTCGATATTGCAGTTTATTATATAGCACAGATAGTATTTTTATTACCGAATAAAATCTTAATAATAACGTTATCATCGGTTGCTTTTGAGAGATAGTTGTTTGGAGAGACAGAGAGTTTCCGATTTGTATTTTTCAATTTTTATTTCGATATTTGTGTTATCATTGTCTTTCACGAATTACCTATTAGAGAAGATTCCTTGGTCATTCCAGCATTGTTGACCAGCACGTTTGCAGGGCCCAGATTTTCTTGCACCCATGCGAAAGCTGCGATTATGCTCTCTTCCTTCGACACGTCGCACTCGACGGCGTAAAGTTTTCCAGAACATTCCTCCAACTCTTGCTCCAGCTCCTTTATTTTGTCCACCCTTCTGGCAAGCCCTGCCACCACCATGCCTTGCAGAAATAAAATTATCGATATAAACTATCTTCGTGAAATTTGGATGTGTTACATAATACTCGTAATACTACGCGAGAAATATCACGATTCAATCTACTTTCCCTTTCTTCAATTCAAAATCAAGTACGAGATCTTCCAGCTAGATTAATCGTATTGCAAGTTTAGGCCTTAAGATCGGCCATCTACCTAAAGGGAAAAAATTTCAAAAAAAGATCGTATTTTGTGATATTTAACGTTATAAAAATCGGTGATTGAATGTCCGATCTGCGACTTCGTCAAATAAAATATTTGGGACCAGGAGATTTTAATCGGTTTCGACGATTTTTTGAGTTTCCTGAAGCTTACCATGGCTGACCAATTGCTTGACGATCGCAGCCCCGATTCCGGCACTTGCTCCCGTGACCACGGCCACCTTTCCTACCCATCTGTCCATCCTCGCTATCTCACGAACGGCTTACGACTGCTCGACGTGGCTCCGGTAATAAGATCGCTTATAAGTCTAGAAACCGATAGGTAAAAAGTAACGGCGGTTAAAAATCAATTGCGACTGGTCCGGCGGGTAATCCGATAGTCTCGTGGTAAACCCATACCTAGCCTTCGGTCCGATATGTCCTCGGCAATTAATGTTGTTTGCGAGATCTCTGACATCCTGTCTGCGATCTATTTCGATTTTCTCGTACACGGATAATTATAGGATAACGTAGTCTGGTCTGGGGAAAAAATGGAAAAATATTCGATTATACTTCATGACTATTTTAATTCTTGTTCGATTATTCTAGGTACTTATTATTATGTATTATCAGCCTTACGAGATCTTTTCTTTCAGGTGGTGTACCGAAGTGATACAAGAGGCTGGTTTTATTCGAGATACTTGGTCGAAGCAACCACGATGGACTTCTTTGCACAACTGCAGTTACGTCGAGGTGCTTGATATGCGATTAAGTCCATAGACGTAGGTCGTTAATTGAGAAGCCCTTGTCGTCTATTTGTCATTGTGTTTCTGCGGTAGGTAATCCGCTGACATCGCACAGCCCGCCATTTTGATCACGAAGTCGGACAGTTACAGACAACAAAATGAGGGATCCAATATGGCGGACAGATGTATTAGAGGAATACATTGATTTAGGGATTAAGGTCTTCGAGTTTTCCAGGTCATTAATCACGAATTCAGGGTAAATTTAGAATACAGTCGACAGATACAGCGTGTCGATCGAGCTGTACTTTTGAAAAGCGTCCTATGGTCGATTGGTATGAAATTTAAGACAGACTGGTGAAGAGAGTGTTGGAGACAGAATATAAAATTTTAGATTTGATTATTTATGGGTTTCTGAGATGTTAACGAAAAATTTTCAGGGCCATGTATACCTTGAATATAGCTAAAAGCTGTATAGGTGTTAGTTACGTAAACGTCTTCGTGTGGTGGTCGTCAACTGATAAGTAGTCAATGACGCAGTAATGACAGTATTGGTTTAGGGTAGATAAGAGGGCTCGCATGATTACGATTGGGAATTCTCGCAAATACACGTGTAATCATTTTAATTAATATCTTGAAAACTTCCAAGTACCAGAAGGTAAAATTTTGTATTTTGTATGCAAAAGAAGTTCATGCTTATTCGATGATTTCAGAAGAATATTCAAATGTCGTTGCAGTTTAATATGTCGATTGTTACAAATTAACATAATTAGGTATCTCTCTCTAATTATTAATGCCTGATAGTGTGCACGAATAGTTGTTATAATGCTAATGTACTTTATTTATGAAGACGGAAGTGATTCGTTAACGTATTAAGGCTAAAGAGAGGTGTGCTTTAGATTGCGAAATCAATTATTCCTACGCTGCTTGGAATATCCATTGTGTTATCCAAGAGTTGATTCAGAGAAAAGAAAACTATAATACTTCATTTTGCTTGTTCATTTTTTATCATGCCATGTAATTTAGGAATTACATTTCCACACGCTTTAAAAGCAAAAGTAATGAATTATTAATCAATACATTATTAATTAATTACAGGAAAATGAAAAAATTAGAATTTTCCCAAAATTTATTTCTTCTTTTGTAACTCCAGAAATTATTAGATTCCCTTTTCTTCTATCTTAGAAATAAGTCATTAAAAGACTAGCTTTTGGAACATGCCATTACGATTTTCTCACTTACAATTTATTATAGTTTTTAATTAATTTTTCTATGAACTAAAACAATAAATGTAGTAAGGGTTATTGATACACATCGGTTCAAATCTACAAGTTATTTATTGGATATAAGGCGCCTACATTGCTGAGTACTATACACTTGAAACTTGTATCGAATCTGTCCCGTTCGGGACTCTAATAAACAGTTTTCTTTTATCCATTTTATCGTTATAATTATTATTATTGTTTATTATTATTATTCTTTTCGTTCGCTTATTGTTAAATCCGTCACGTATCATTGTGGAATGCGACAATGATTCGCTAAAACATTGTCCAAGCGTGGCACTAAAACAGGAACTGCTAAACAATGGGCGCTAGGCGGAGAGAATGAGAGAGAGACAGACAGAGTAGCGGAAGTCGGAGGGCCATCGCGACTTCCGTGTCTTCTGAAGCGAGTTTCTTCCATTCGATCGAACGTCACGCTGGTTTTCTTATAAATAAAATAGAACAAATCCATTGGTCGTTATCGTTCTCTTCCTTCTCTACAATATAATTCGACGATTATTTACAAATCTCTTAAAAATTATTATACCCCTTTTCTTTTGCTGTGTTGCGGAGAAAATATATCCCTTTTGTTTAATCGTAACACGTACAAACGATACGTCTGGTTATTCGTCGATGGTTCGTTTATTAAATCGCGAAATTATAATGGCTCGATTTCATTTGTTTATTGGTTGTTATTCCCCTCGTCTTCTTTTTTCCTTTTTCTCATTTCTTTTTTCCAAGGTATAACAAGTTGTTCTCCGATTGCGATAGCAGTACCCTTTTGAAAAATAAAACACGCCCTGATATCAATTCGAAGTTCAGCGTTACAAGATAAATGTGTCGCGTGGGTCAGAAGTGTAGATACCTCCCTGAAGATACCTTGACACGCGACTCCATGCTAATATTTAAATAATATTTATCAATAAAATTTCGATAATAGTCTAGAGCGATGCAAAAAGGTCTGAAAATGAAGGAAAAAATAAAGGATGGTCAGAAACGAAAACAAAAGTACTATCAGCGAGAGATAAACATTATTTTCCAGATATTTTAATGAATTTTTAATTCGAAAGATTTTTTAATTAATTAACGAATCCATAGGAATATTCTTGAGAATTGTAGTCGAAATTTTTTAAAAGTTATTAAACGGGTTTCGCTTGTCTTCTGATGAGGATCCTCGGGAATATTTCTATACTTCTGACCGTTGGAAATTCATTGTTTTAAATAATAAATATCGTGATTAATTGAAAAGGCGACTTTTGAGAGAATAGTTGAGGATTAGAATGTTCGTGGATTTCCGCTTACGTACGAGATATGTGAAATTTTATTTTTTATTTTCTTGTTGCAGGGGAACACGTTGAATTTCGGCCTCACCGATTTGACAACACGGTCTATCTACGAGACGTAAGTACATATGTGTGATTTTTAAGCTTTTGCATCTTCCGTTGCACGCACATCACGAGAAACATAATTGAACTTAAATTTAGGATTATAAGACTAATTTATAAAATGTAAGATCACAGATACTAACGAGATATAATTATTCCAAGTGACGTTGCTTATCTTAAATCTTGATGTGTTTCATATGAAAAATAATGTGCAATTCCGAATGTAAGTTTGAGATTACATTTTATTCGCTGTGGTGTATATTTAGAGAGAATGAAGAAACAGATGTGCCTACTTATGGTTGCCAATTATCCGAGAGAAGGATGAGGCATTGATAATCTTCTTAAGTTATTATGTTCTTTGCGAAAAGACGCAGAGAAATATGATTTGGTGAATTTTTAGCGTTGAGTAATTATTGAACGTAAAATTTTCAAAGTTTCGAATTTTCAAAGCTTCAAATTTTCAAAGTTTCGTATTTTCAAAGTTTCAAACTTTCAAAGTTTCAAGTTAACAAATTTTTCAATTAAAATGTTAATTTCAAATATTAGTTCACTAAAACAAAAGTACTATCAGCGAGAGATAAACATTATTTTCCAGATATTTTAATGAATTTTTAATTCGAAAGATTTTTTAATTAATTAACGAATCCATAGGAATATTCTTGAGAATTGTAGTCGAAATTTTTTAAAAGTTATTAAACGGGTTTCGCTTGTCTTCTGATGAGGATCCTCGGGAATATTTCTATACTTCTGACCGTTGGAAATTCATTGTTTTAAATAATAAATATCGTGATTAATTGAAAAGGCGACTTTTGAGAGAATAGTTGAGGATTAGAATGTTCGTGGATTTCCGCTTACGTACGAGATATGTGAAATTTTATTTTTTATTTTCTTGTTGCAGGGGAACACGTTGAATTTCGGCCTCACCGATTTGACAACACGGTCTATCTACGAGACGTAAGTACATATGTGTGATTTTTAAGCTTTTGCATCTTCCGTTGCACGCACATCACGAGAAACATAATTGAACTTAAATTTAGGATTATAAGACTAATTTATAAAATGTAAGATCACAGATACTAACGAGATATAATTATTCCAAGTGACGTTGCTTATCTTAAATCTTGATGTGTTTCATATGAAAAATAATGTGCAATTCCGAATGTAAGTTTGAGATTACATTTTATTCGCTGTGGTGTATATTTAGAGAGAATGAAGAAACAGATGTGCCTACTTATGGTTGCCAATTATCCGAGAGAAGGATGAGGCATTGATAATCTTCTTAAGTTATTATGTTCTTTGCGAAAAGACGCAGAGAAATATGATTTGGTGAATTTTTAGCGTTGAGTAATTATTGAACGTAAAATTTTCAAAGTTTCGAATTTTCAAAGCTTCAAATTTTCAAAGTTTCGTATTTTCAAAGTTTCAAACTTTCAAAGTTTCAAGTTAACAAATTTTTCAATTAAAATGTTAATTTCAAATATTAGTTCACGAAATATAATTACACTGAGAAATTAATTTTGATATTTAAATTACAAAGGTAATCTCAAATTTACGATCAGTAGTGCTTACGATAGAACTTACAATAAAATCATAAAGTAACTTTTCGCCATTTTGCACGATAAATATTCAAAGATGCGACATTTCATTATCTCGTACACTCGTGACTGTTCTTTCTTTTTATTCGTTATGATACCTTTGGTAAATCGATAATTCATCGAGATACGTTTAATTTCAACAAATTTGGGAAAAGAAGGAGATAAATCGACGCTCGTACTCGTTACGATCATTACAAATATACATTAACCTTTATATTATTAGTGTCCATACTAAAATATATACGCAATTGTAACGTGTTACCTTAGCACGACCGACTCGTTTCTTCCTTATCTCTCGATTCTTACTTCGCGTTAATTATCATGAGGTAAAATATGCAAATAGTCAGCCTTGGAGATTTAAAGCCTGTTATTTTAAAGAATATTGTTCGTCCTGCTTGGCCACCATTCTCTTTCCTGAATTTTCTTTTATTGCAACATTAGGGAGAGAGTATGCGATCGATCCTGAAATCTTTAAAGTAAAATTAAGAAATATTTTTAGCAGAGCATTCTCAGGAATTAAAATCTTCTTGACGAACTCAATTTTCCTTTGAAATTTCATTTTTAAGATTTCAAACTTCGTCACGTATTAATTTGACGAAAACAAAAAATTGCCGAAATAAAAGAATGCCTTTTCCCCCTTTCAATTTCAACAATTTTTCAGATCTCTCGTTAATAGCTTTAAAGAAAAAAAAATCAATCGTTAACGAATTTAATTTTCTTCGAGTTAATTTTACGAATTTCGAATTTCTCTAAATTTCGCTGTTGAATTTGAGGAATTTTCAGGATCGATATGGAAGCACGAATCTCTTCTTCTAAACCCTCTGATCTTCCAGACCGACCATTGGTCGACTAGAAGAAATTATAGCAATTCGTTACATCTGTTAAAACCCTGATTAAAATCGTAAAAGAAAATAGAAAGAAAATAATGGAAAACAATGAACAAAAATTCATAATAAAATCTTTCATGTTTTTCAACGACGAATTAAACTAAGGAACTCTCGCAACAACGATACAATTGTTCGAAATGAATGATGATTATGTATACAGAGGGAGAGATGTCTATTGTATCGATCCTATCCGAGATTATACATAATACTCTGGGCTATTTCATGCGACCATACGAAATTAAATAGCTTCATCTTCATCTTCATCTTCATCTTCTTCGTCTTCGTTCTCCATCAAATTAGATGATCACAGTTACAGTCTGTTTCGATGTACTTTATACAAAATTGTTCCACCGATTATACGAATAGTTATTATACTTTTTTAAATTTTATCTCATTTATTGTATCTCAGAATTGCTTTACGTGCTATTCATAGAAAACACCGTCAAGACAGACCTCGATGTCTACTATGCCGGCCTTCACCGAAGCTTCGAAGAATAGTTTAACGTCGCTTCAAGTTGATTTTTTATTTATTTTCTTTCTTTTTTTTCGTGAACGATTGATACATATCATCGTTGCTGAAAGAAATGTAACGAAATCGTAAGCTATGACGCCTGGTATTATAATCCTATGAACAATAGTTCATAGACCGATCGACATCGCAAGGATCGAGGTCCACATAGGATCCATTGCGAATTTTACTATTAAATCTCTATAAATTTTATTTACCCTCGCACATCTTTTAAAAATGTAATTTTTACACAGATTCTTCAAATTCCTCTTTTAAATTGTACCCCTGTAATTGAAAATAATTTTTGAAATACAAATTGCAGTCGAAGCGAAATTAGAGTCGATAGAGAGGTACTTTATACGGCCCTGAATTAGGCCTAGAGTTGTTCTCTCAGATTTTCTACATTCTTTACCCCAGTGCCCAGAAAATAATTATTTCGATATACACCTATTGACTCGGTTAACTCGTTATATTTCTCTCAGCAACTGTATAAGCTTTATTACTTCGCGTCTCTACATGTGCACACGAACATATCAAAGGATGAAACTGGTTAGAGAGACTTCTGTTAATCTTTCTTACTACCCATGGTAAGAGGATCGAGGAACGTTCGATTCACTCGGATCTTTTGTTTGTTCGCTTGAATACCACTCGAAATCCGTATTTGCGAATGTGCAACATCCACTGTTTCCTTGTTACATGGTCACCGTTATTATCGTCATTTACTTCGAATCGCCTGTCGATGATACTTCGTGTTCAAGAAAAATGCTTCGTAATTTGTTTTCATCGTATACACCCAACGGCTCCCGCTTTGCAAATAATTACCAAGACTGTGTCTAGTTAACTGGCCAATGTTACGTTTGTATCTTTTTATCTTTTAACTCATGAATTTCCGATTGCCTACGAAACGTTGTCGTTCGACCCTCCAGTCTGTTCCCGACGAATCTTAATCACCTCGTTCGATTCCATCGAATGCTTTCTCGAATAGAATGCAAAACAGGTTCTCTTGTGCCTAGAGGAAACTTAGAGCTGACTCTCTGAGGATGATAGGAGGATGATAACGCCACGAGCGGCGCGTGCAACGATTCCGATTTTCATAGTCGATAAAGGAAGTTGAAACGAAACGATTTCTTCAAAGAGATTTTGAAAAGAAAGGTTTTTCAGGTTAGACTTTTGTGCTCGTTTCGAGGTATAGCTTCGATCCATTTGCATCTAGGATATGGATGTACTCGTTTCTTTTGGTCATTTTCATAGAAGTTAACGTAATCGCAAAGCTAGATCGACGTGGAAAGGACAATGTCAGACGTAAAGGAAATTCGGTTCACACCTGAAACGAGAGATCGTGAAATAAATGGTTATCAACTTCCGATCTTTTAGGAAGCGTAGGATCACTTCCAGAGTTTTTAATACTGCTTGTGAATCAAAGTTCACTGTGTTAAAAGTAAAGAAATTTTGGTTCAGACGATTGTCAGATAGATATACACTAGCTTCTGATTCCTTGGATCACACAGAATCACTCTGTGAAAGAATCTCTAGCTTCGAATGTGAATCAAAGTTCGCCTATTCCTGGAATTGCCCTGTTCAAGTGAATATTGCAGCAAAAAGCCATGATCAGCCCACTTCTGTTAATTTTCTGATCTTTATAGTGTTTGATGTTCGAAAGAGGGTTTCAGCAACAGGCATATCTGTCAAGCTGGATGATGCAAATGGATTGATCAGGAAACGAGGCTTTACACCCAAGGTAGGCAAGCGTAGGGGGCACACTTATTGTAATTATGCACAAATGGGAGCGAGTGTCTGCCTTTGTGTCAGTGATGCCTAGGAAAAGAATCGAATTGCGTGTTTCTATGGCTTTGAGAATTAGCCTGGCCAACGTTGCTAACAGTGTGTTGTTGACTTTGAGGCTGTGGCTGTTGTTGTGTCTGTAATTGTGACTGAGGTTGATGCTGCTGCTGTTGCTGTTGACGTTGCTGTTGGTACTGTGCACGTTGCTGGGTCTGCTGGTGTTGTTGGTACTGTTGTTTTTGCTGTGCTTGTTGACGTTGTGATTGCGATTGCTGATGTTGCGGTTGCTGTGGTGGCAGCGGTTTCTGCTGGGGCTGGGGATGGTATTGAGGTTGTTGCTGTTGGTTCTGTTGTTGCTTTGGTTGTTCCAACCCAGCGGCCAGGTAGGAGAACACACAGAGGACTGAGTAGCAGATTTGATCTGCCTGAAATTTTTGTATAAACAGATTTCACGTTTAATTTTTACTTTAATCTAGACAAATTTCGAATTATTTGGTAATTCTTCGACGTGTTGGATTTTCAAGTAAAAACGTAATTTTTATGCAGATCTTTCAGGAATTTTTAACCTTTAAATAGAAAAATAAGATTTCTTTCACTCTTTGTCTACAATTCCTGAATTTGTAAGAGAATCGAGTAATTTTCGCAAAAATGTAAAAAAAAGGGTTTTGAGGTTTCTTCGATAAAATGTCTATCTAAACTGTGAGAAAAAATGAGAGACTTTTGGAAATCTTTAAAACTAAAATTTAAAAAATTCCAAAGCTTTACAGGGAAATTAATACAGGATGTTAACGAGGTACGAAGATTGTTACCTACAGTATTAATGCGGGAAAAAATGAAATTTAAAAAGAGCAACGGAAATATACATCGGAAAAAAGAGAAATAAAAAAAATGGTAACTAAACCTTCATGCATTGTTGCTTTTGGGGTTGTCTTGAACCTCAGACAAGATTTCAGATAACGTAAAGGCAACGGAGAATATCCTGTGCATGCTGCGGCACAATTCATTGGCCTGTTATACAGCATACAAAAAAAAAATGTAAAATATTTACTTATTACAATCGATAATTTAATAAAAGAAAAAGAGACTAATTTACACTAGATACGTGTAACAAGCAAATAATAAAAAAATATAAACAAAACGAACAAAACGTAAAATAAAATTGTTCAGATTTCTAATTTAGAATACAAAGGTACATGAAAAAATTAACCTACTTACCATTTGAGACTTATATTTACGTTGAATTACTTGTCTAGTTTTAGGATCTGGAAAATAAAAGAGAACGGTTTAAAACATTTCAGAATATTAATTCTTTATAGGTATACTTTCCAAAATTTTCTTAAGAATTTTCCGAAAAATTTTCTTTCGTTACGGTATATAGAAAGAAGTTACTCACTGAATTCTTCCAATACAAAGATCCCATCCTTCTGAGTAAAGCACTTGCGGATATGATCGAGTCTTACAAAAAACTGCAAATAACACGATCGTTCTGCATTAGTTGGGACCGGAAAAGGAGGGATTTCGCGATCTACTCGTACATGCACACTTGTGATTAGATCCTCTATGGCCTTTTATGCCCCGGACAATGTAACCGTGTGTGCCAACAACATTTTGGAAAGAAAGGCGTGAAACTCGTTCGAGTAAAAAATGCTCAATTCGATGGTGGGATCAAGCTCTGAACCGTCGATGTCTCACGTACTATCGTATCGGCTAATACGCATTACAGTGCACCTTTTATTATTATTTTCTTTTTTTTTTAAGCAGGATTTTTGGGTAAAGAAATTTCTCTCAAACCTTCGTCAAATCAATTCTCGAAATGAAATTTTAAAAGAAATTTCCGATTTAAGAAGACACTTCGTTCTTCTCTTAAAAAGAATTTTTAAAGGTTTTCTTGCAAAATGTAAGGAGTTACAAATTTTTTATTCTATTTCTAAAAATGTTTTCAAAGGAATTTTCGAAGATTCCTCTTCCTCGTTTCCGAGAAATCTGTATTTTTGCAATAAAAATTTCTCCTGGACACTTTTCGCCCTTAATCCGAGCAATCCTCAGCAATTCCTTTTTAATTTCCAATTTAATTTTCGGATTTAGAGATATTTCTTCACCGACGGTACCAGCATTCATTGTACCGTCCACTAAAAGATTCCAGAGTATCAGACATACAATGAAACGTGGCACTGTCTTATATTCGATCTTCCTTTTTTCTTTCATCTCAATTTCGTACATCATTAACACACATTGAAGAGAAAAGTTGACGGTACACGAAAACTATTAAGCTGAAGCTTCTTTAACTAATTTTTCTCTTCAGTTCTCCACCGCAACCGAACTTTTCTCTGAACATAAGTGTCTCGATAAGTCTACTAGGTGTGACTGATTTCAAGAGAACCGTCTCCGAAAATCATGCACGTTCAAGTATACTCGAATCGAAGATATTCAATCCAACTCTTCGCTCCCCTCAAAAATCTCATTTTTATTCGAGACAAGATTTGTCCTCTTTCTTGATCAGAAGTCACAAGAAACAAGAAATTATTTTCTCTAGTCAATATTACTAGCTTCGGAATTTTGTTTCTCCAGTTACTGGAAGCATGCTTATTAATTTTCATTGCGTTATTTTAATTAATACCAGTAAATTGAATAACACTTTTTACCATCTATCGTAACATCAATATCCCCGCGTTTACACGTTCAGAATTATAAATTATTCGTCAAGTTCATTTAAATGTATTTTTCTTGAAACAGAAACCTATTTATTTTCATCGTACCATTTTAATTAGTATTATTTATTCGTATTACATTTAATTTATTACCATATACCATAGTACCAATATCTTCATCGACATTCGTGCTTGACAAAGTACTTCTCATTCAGAAATTTCTCATTCCTTGTTTCCCAATTTCGACTGTTTTCTTTCTCTGAACAACTGCTTCTCACTCGATTCGTGTATAACAAGAACGGTCGTATATCTTCGAACATGCAGGGATTAACGAGCACGATAAAGCTGCACACACCATGCATCATTTTCTCCGCTAATTAAAGCCAAGTCATCTACTAGCGTCGAGTTCGATAAAGCGGGTCTGAAAGCCGGATAATCGCGAGTATTGGCCGCGGCGGATTGCATTTCCGGCTGTAACAAGGCGCACAACAGAAGCGAGATCATATTGGTGAACAGTGAACGGTTCAAACTCTGAAGCAGAAATATCATAGAGAGCAGCGTCTAATAATTGCATATAGCGAATTTTTCATATTTTTTTTTTCTTTTTTTTCTCTTTTATTTTTTCTTTTTTTCTTTTTTTTTCTTTTTTTTTTTTTTTTTTTTTTTTAAGTAGTTTAGCGGCAGACAGGCAACTCTGGAGATGGCCTAAACTCATCAAAAAATGTATAAATGTCATCGATTGCTCGGCGTCGATAGATCTGCTATATGTGCAATTGGTATTGGTACATCTAAAATGCGCGAAATTGGGATTTGGCCCGGTTGATTTATGTTTTTTTCTTCTTCTTTATTTTATTTTATTTCCTTTTTTTTTCCTTTGGATTTTTCTTTTTTTTCAGTCAACGATGCACAGTTATGATTCGATCGAAAGATCGATCGATCGGTTCGAGTGATCGCGAGTGATCGTGGTCACGGAGGAAGTATACCGCGACGTGTGTCTGAGAGATCCAGAGGATCGAAACATCGTGTACAGCGGTGCCATGCTGTAGAACAGTGTTTTTCAAACTGTATTCATTTTCTGTCAATTATATCAACTATATTCGACTTTTAAAATTTCTCGACTTGCTTTATCATTTATTTAAAAACGATTAGAAAGGAAATTTTCCTTTTTGGTATTCTTGATATATTCTTAAAAGGCCGATAAAGATCTCTGTAATTATTTACTCAACAAATTTAATTCCATTTAATTTAATTAATATAAATCTCGAATATTAATAATTTCGTTTTTTAATAAGAATACAAAATTAACTTGGTTTCGCTTTAAATATGAAAAAGTTCGCAGTGATTGATCGAAATTCCTCGAGTCTGCATGGGAGTTTAAATTTCGAAGATCGATCACTCGTGGCATTGGAGTTTGGAAAACATTGTCGTAGAAACATGTGTATGTGTACGTGTTTGTGGAGGACAAAGAACGTGTCGTGTTGGGCTTCTTTCGAGTTGCTTTTCCACGTTGTGGGAGTTTCATTCATCAAAGTCAGACATCACTATATAGCACGATACCATTGCTCTACTACATAACTGGCAACGTGAGAGTGGTTTCATAGATGGTTCTGCAATAAGCGGGCGACTTCTCTCTATCGTACATATATTGAGAACTACTCATTCATGCAGTGCATTCAAATTTCCCTAGAGACGTACATAAACATTCATCTCTATAATTCATCCCTAACGGAAGGAAGGTTTTCGATTGAGAAAAGAAAAAAAAAATAAATTAAAATTTTTACGTTGACTGTCTTGTAGTTAACAATTTATCTTCTTTACTTCAACGATCGTGTCCGTCACCCGATTTTCCGCGGAAATTATAAGTCGATCAAGAGTCAATTTTCACGCACTACGAATGTCACTAGTTTCTTTACTAGTAATTTTTTTGTCACTATTTCGACGCATACTTCTACGTTCGTACTTTGAAATGTTTTCCACGTATTTAAAATTATTATTGATAGGTGGACGCGAAATTAGCTTTCGAAATCGAGTTGCGATTTTGAAAATTAACGTATGGTTGTAGGAAGTATAGTTCGCTTTAGTTATTGCATTATGCAATAGGTAATCGGTTTTATAGCTAACATTAGAATTACCGACATGTAATATTTAATTATAATACTCGTAGATAGTATTAATTAAAGTGGCGCGATGAGGATAAATATGTATGATTAGGCTTTTATCTTAATAAAAGCTAGCATTAACTTCGCTGAAAATTGCTATACTTTCAGCAATTGCATGAATGAAGTAAAAAAGACTCGTTGCGTCACGTCTGTAAAAAAATATAGTATTTGACAATTTATTTTTTGGAATTGAAAGTAAAATCTCAGTGATAAATAAATACAATGGATTTTTTTTTAATAAGTTAGGTTCAACTTTACGAAATTCTACATTAAAATTTATGTAATAGTTTTTTGTTAATTTTTTAATAATTTATTCTGCACACCAGAAAGTTAATATATATAAAAAATACTACGGAATTTTCGTCAGCCATTTTGATTAATTTGGTAATCCTAATGTCAATCATTCACCGAATTACTCGAATCTCCAAAAATGCTTTTGAAAAATTCCTTTTCACACGGTACACGAAATAATAAATCGTGTACAAGGTGTACGAAAAAATTCCTCGAATAATTCCTCTGTAATTAAAAATTTCACAATTTCTGTTGCTCGCTTAAACTGCAATAAATTCCTTATCCAGTATCAATTTCCCCAAAGGCGCGAAGTGCATCAGTCGAATTTTTTTTCCCGAAGATTACCACGTCTACCGACCATAAATCATGGAAATTCGTGTCCAAAGCAGATAACGTTTAATTACTGCGGACTGACCCCGAGGTTCATGCAATACGATTTCGAAAGCTTCTCTCGGACACACCCTAATTGTAATCGTACTCTTGGTACAGCAATAACACCTCGTTTATCGATTCGTTATACTATGTCGATGGTTTCATTTCTCATTTTTTCCTCTTCATCCGCAGTGTACCGAAATAATAACATCGAACGATCGACGACATCCAACCACGTTGTCGATCAGAATTTCAGAATCACTGTGTACTCCACGCGACCAAACAATAAAAAGAAGAATTTTTTTAAGCCAAAACGCTATTGAAACGAAGAAAATTATCGTAAAATATTATTACCCGCAATTCTAATTTTAAACGAATTAATTTTAAATAGAGATTCGGTATAGATGCAAACGATAGCGGTCCTAAATTTTTCTCGATAGTTGGTCTGTATGTAGCCGTAAAATTTAATTTAATTTTTAAAGAGTTAATTGTTCCACGTAAAGTAAATTTTAATTGTTCCACGGTCGACAGTTTCGTGTACACGATTTTACACGAAAACGAAATGTAGGAACTCCTCTAATGGCGCGGAGAAAAACGTAGGATTACTGTTGGTGTTATACGAGTCCCATAATCGGGGACTAGGGGATGACGTAGAAGGCTATATGGTGAAAAATAATATACATATGTATGTATATATATATAGTTGCATTGAGTGCACCAAACATTGCTCTACAGGTTGCACTAAACACTACTCACAAATAATACTCTCATCTAAGGACAGTCTTATCGGACTCAATATCGAAATGCAGCAGACACTGTTCTGCGTATTGTGTATATAACATATGTATATATATACGTATAAGTATCATATACATATATTATACATGTGGACCAGTGGTACCTGAGTCAGTCTCATATTTATAATCCATATTAAATCATAGGGAACATATAGGTATATACGTATGTATATATATGTACTCTGTGTGTAATATATATATATACATAGACGTGTGTATGTCACAACTAACACCGATCGATGGTAGGAAAACAGTAAGGTAGACAGAGCAGATCAGTTAAATTTAAATGCACTGGTTAAGAGTGTAGTAGTAGTAGTAGTAGTAGTAGTAGTAGTAGTAGTAGTAGTAGTAGTAGTAGTAAGTAGTAGTAAGTAGTAGTAGTAGTAGATAATAGTATATATGGTTAATAATAATACGGCTAAAAGTAATGGTGAAATAAAGAAGCATTTCCGGAACACGGCCAACACTGATTATAATTATAATACTGAGTTCATATAACAAACAGTGATTTAATTTGATTAGTACCTCGAAATCCTGTGTATGCCCAGCCCAGGGGCAATGTCGACGGACAGGACAAGAAAACAGAAAACAGAAAAACAGAAAATTAAATTTCTGCCAACAATATAGTATAATAATCCATTGAATTAGAATATTAATGGTTATCAGGGCTCGGTACGATGATAATACAGCTAGACATATTACCTATCGTCATGGCCAATTTTTTAACAAATCAGCGGTGATTGTTCATTGTTCAAGGACCATCTCAAAAGTTCCCCAAGCTGAGAAAAGTCTATCGATGATCATTCGAACTTCACGCATTATACCGGATCGTTTCACAATGCAACGATCGTCGAAAGTTTCGTCATTTCGTTCACTTTCCTTCGATTAAGCTCTTTCGTAACAAAAGAATTCGTTCGAACGTCGTAAACAATTATAATTAATTGCTTTCGTTTAAGCCTTTCCCCCGATCTTCGTGCCTTCCCTTCATTTTTTCCTTTTTCTCTTTTTTGGCTCGTTTATTACATGTACTGAATTTTTCCTCCTTCGGTTATGAATAGACTTTCCTCGCGTATGACCACGACAAATAATGATAGAAAAAGAAACAAATTGTTAGACTTAATAGAGAAAAAATATATGGCATCCAACATTCAATACAAATTATAATAGATACATATATATATATATATATACATATATTAAGATAGTATATATATCTATATATATATATATGTGTGTGTGTATGTGTGTGTGTGTGTATATATATATAATCGAGGCCAAGTTTCTGTATATACCCTAATCCTTATCACCTATATGAATGTATATGTATGATAAATGTATATATATATGATTATAATACAGATAAAAGAGACTGCAGCTGCACATCGAGCTCCATGCAAGAAAACACTGATTAATGCTTGAACGAAAATATTACCCAACAAAATGACCGATAATTTATATATAAGTGTCTATATATATGCATACGGAATACATATATATATATTTATATATCATAGTGCCCCTGTCGGTATGTAAAATTACGATTACCACATAATAAATGTCAAGTACCCAGGTATATAAATGTACACAAATGAACAGACATGATATCTATGTATATGTGATATCCAGTGAGATAAGTAGAATCGTTATAATAACCAACGTGTCCTGTGTGAAATTTGCCTGTGATAAAAAATTCCTTTTTCCCCTAGAATTTATGTTTCCCTTGTCAACCGTGTGTATGAGCATCTATGCGATCGTATGAATGTGCGATTAATTAATTCCACTAATCGAATTATATGTTAATCGTTTGACTCTATCGATAGCTCGATCTTCCCCTCGTTCTTCCATCATCGGTCCCGTTCGTTCCCTCGTGTGCATGTGTCTCGTATGTGTGAAGTTATGTCTCGTGTTTCAAACTATAGCAGCCTGAAAAAAGATTCTAATTTCCCTCCAGTGTTTTCGCAGGATACAGAAAAACGTATACAAGTATTATTCTCGTTCTGGAGGAGCGGGTTCAAAAAGGGGGTCGAGAAAAGGATGGTTCTTTAGGCGATTTCGGTCAAGAGCTCCGTGTGATCCTACCGGCCGTCGTACACCTCGCAAACTCATACGTAAGAGTCGGTAAAGATATAATAATACGTACAGATACAAAATTAAGCAGATCGTGGTGGCTAGCGATGGGAGATAATATTGAGTGGTCCTTGCATCAATGCAATAAAACGGAAGAAAGGAACGAAAAAGTAATACACAGAGAGAAGATTCAATAATATCGAAAGAGTATGAACAGTAAAACAGGGGGTTCCGGGGCGGAGCTGCTCAGGAGCTCCCCTAATCGTTCGCCTCGATTCAACATTTCCCTCGTCTCTCCTCATTCCCACTAAGAAATAATCCCTATAATTCGTCGCTTTTTTAGACTAATTTCACCATCGGGCTAAAAAGTGAGAGAGAAAACCCAAGGATCCGGATCTTTCGATCGTCTTTAATGTTATACAATTGAATCGAGGCGATTAGTGGAGTAAACCCCGCAACAAATTCTTAGACTGCATATGTTTCGGTCGCTGAAATAAATACATGGTTATACGGTATTGGAACATTATAGTCGAGACAGTAACATCGCCAAAGAAAGACATGACATCGGATAGTCAAAAAACAGTAGTGGAGATAAGTAAAAAAGTCGCTATAGAGAATAAAGGGACGGATATACATATATCTTGTATATATATGGTATACCCAATAGATGGTGGAGAGTTTCGGATGCGCTTCAACATTACATGAACAATTGGACAATGTAAAGAAAAGATAGAATAGATAGATAGATAGATAGATAGATAGATAGATAGATAGATAGATAGATAGAGAGGAAACAGGTTTTGCAACAACCGGTTAAAAGTTCGAAGATTCCATTCTTCTTGCAGTTCGTTTCGAAACGAATGAACGCTTGGTGCACGCTTCTGGGCGCGAATCATACCTTGCTATTTGCGAAGAGGAGACCCACGCCCTCCATGCAAACCTGCAGAAGTCCACCCTCGCCGGTGCGCATGTCTTGCACCGGAAACTCGCCTCCGAGTTCGATGCCCACGTTGGCGCCACGACCACGGGCTGCTGCCTTCTCCATCGCGTCTTTTATGCAATAGTACAGGTCCTTGCACTGAAAAAGTATCGTGTGTCATTGGTTACTTTATAATTCATTTCTTTGCAATGTTAAAATTTATTTTTTGTCAATTGCAAGAGGGATTTCGGAGTGCTTAAATATTTACCTTATACGTGTGGAATAAAATACGACACAAATGTAATAAAAATTGTATATAATGGGAATTAATATATCCACTGTTAGGGGTGATACTATACCTAATTTTTAGGTGGCTGTGTATGTAGTGTTATTTCACAATGCGATAAATATGATAAAGCTTGAGTATGACGAGAGTTTGTATGTTCACTGTTAGACAAATTTATATATTATTTTTGACTTTGATGGTATAAGAAGTTCGTGTTATGCGATTATTTTACTATTACCAGTTATAGGACATATGTTGACATTTTTGTAATGGAATTGCAAGTACAGCGCGTACCTTTTTAGTATAATACTTATGCAGCTGAGTTTGCCCGCCATTTCGCCGCCAAAGGCACAATACTTTGTTCTTCGGACTGTACGTCATGTTCACCAAACGCTCGTACCACCATCGCTCGACGATCACGCCATTCACGGATCTCAGGACAAGGCCGTCGTGGCGAACCTCGAGGAATCGTAGATCACCTTCTGCATCGACGCCTGCGTGCACGGTGAACGACTGCCGATGCATTTGTCTGGACGTAAGAGGCTTCAGATCTATATCGTTTCCGTACTGGAATAGAAAAGATCTCGTTACATTTGTAAATTTCTAAGTTTTCATTTAGATATCTTCAGAAATATTTGGTATGGTAAAAGAAGTTTGGTGTTCCCTATTATTCTAGGGAATTTTTGAAAATTGTTTGGTATTGTAGGAAATTTTAAGGCTTCCTTGGTATACTACAAAATTCTTAAGTTCTTCTATTCTTCTGAGAAATATTTTTCGTTTCCCAATAATATAGAGAGTTTCGAGGATTCTCAGAATTTCTAGTAATTTATAAGTCACTATGTATATCACAGTAACTAGGAAACTTCAACTTACGAGATTATGTATTTGGTCGAGAAGTTGATTGAGCTCCTGGCTGTAGATCAGACCGATGTGGCTCTTTCCCAATAACCTCCTTACTTTACGTTTCACCTCCTTCTTATCTACGTTCAGCATCACCAAAATGGCCGTCAAATTGTGCAACAAAGTGCACAATAGTCGGTCTTCGTCGTGCTCCAGCCGTTTTTTCTCACTTTCGCTCAAACTCTTATACCTGGATTAAAATCCAACATCAATCTCGTAAATGTTCCATTTAAAATTTTTCACAATTATCAAACTTATTGCAAAAAATCCTGGTACCTCTCCATCATCTCTCCAGGACCTTGATCCATGCCGATCATGTCTCTTTCTTGAGACACTGCGTCCAAAAAGGCGTCCTCCCAAAACTGCATCTGGTCCCAAAGCGAGGATCTTTCTTTCCCCAGCAAGCCTAAATTTTATTTATTTATGAATTATAATTTTATTACACTTATACACTACAATTACGTTATATCGTTTAAATTATAATATATATAAATTAAAGTATGATTACTGAGGTAGTCTCAGAAAACTCCATTGCTTTTTCACAAACATTGTTATAATGTTTTTGTAATTCTTTCCATTCTTCCTTTATTCTAAAATTGATCTTATTGTTTATGACATAATTGCCATAAAAATTGCAATCTTAACCTTTTGAGCGCTATGAACACATATATGCGTTCAGTAAAATCACCATGGACTAATGGGTTATTCACACAATCATTCCATCTGGGCTATAAACGCATATATGTGATGATTAGCACACGCTAACATCGCGCAACTCAGTGCTCAAAGGGTTAATGACCTAACCCTTAGATAATTTATCCCCTTAAATATATACTCTTCGGTATGTTTAATAACGATGTACCTTCGAATAAGTACGTTCTCGCAGCTTCTGGACTAGGGGCAGCCGTGGTTGGTACCAAGCTTCCTCCATGGTACCGGAAACCGGTGCTCAAGGAAGACTTGCTGGACCAAACGCTTCCCGTTCGTTGCTTCGGTTGTCGTGAAAACTGAAATCGTGACGCAGTATAAGAATTTCTCGACAGCTTCTCCCATCTGTATTATTCGTTACAAGGTTCGTGAAATCGTTTAAAGCTGTTCACTCTTTTCTAAAGTCTTAGCGAAATAGGTAAGCTCGATTACTCTCTTCTACGGTTAAACAGAAGCACCAAAGTATCATACTAAAGAAAGCTACGCGAGTTTTACTCTCTCGGTGCAGTGATACACAAAACAAAAAGAGTATTCTCAAGCGATGAAGTGTCACAAATGTTAATCTTGTATTTAAAGTACTCGAAAGATCGTTTGATCCGACGAACAGCAAATTAGATATTCTTCGAGAATTTCTTCTACAGAAACATCTATTTTCCTCTTTCACGTCTAATTTTACTGTATAGTTTCGTAATTTCTTGTACTCCAGATCTTCCAAAATTCTTGTAAACCCTCTCGAATCGATTTACAAAAATTTCCTTCGATTTATAATATTATATATACAGAAAAAAAAATTGCCTCATAATGCAGGTATGCAAGGGCAGAAAAATTCGTACAGTTATTCCCGCCATTTTTCTCCCTCCGAATTTCTTCATAGAATGTTTAATTTTCAGTTTGTCAAATCAAACGTGACACCCATAACTTTCCAAATCTAATCGTGTGTAATCTCATCGTGTACCAATAGCAATTGCAGAAGCTTCCACGTGTTCTCGTGTGCAGAAACTAGTCTAATGATCATAGCAACATGCTGTTCTCTGTCATCCTCTATCATCCTCTTGACGACAGTCTATCTTTCCAAATGATCCATTGCACTTCGATGTTTCATAATGTTCACAATGCAAGTATTGCACAAGCTCTGCGTTCTTCCTCCGCATTGATTCTCGACTAAATGATCTAAGTCTAAACGAGCTAACAGTTTCCTAACTAGAGGCATATTCTGCAATTTCATCGGGTCGTTCGTCTAAACCGGCTCAGTTTCTACCAGCTATTTTAATTCTATTTATTAAAGGGTAAAGAAAAGAAAAAGACTGATTCAATAGATTTCAATTACATTGCCTTGCTCGACCTCGCTATCAGAGACAGTGCTTCGGAAAGAAGCTTGGTGCGCTTGCCGAAAAGCAGGATTAGTGATTATGCTACCTCCGTCTGTGGATAAAGCTTCGCTGCTTCCTGTTCCACCTCCCCGCCCACTCTAAAAACACATGACGCCTCTATATAGCACACTTATACACCAACAACGTGACAACGTATCGCTAATTGCTTGGAACTTCATGTCTTTCTTTTTCATAATTATGGATCGATTGTAATTTCGAATGATCTATGTCGTGGAGACCCTGGACATTGATTAAGCAAAACGATGTGTCTAAGATAAATATATCATTTTTCATGTACGATACTTGGACGAAATGATAGCTGTAAGGAATTTTGATCTTTTTATTTGATTCTTGATCATCGAATCGGTTTATTTATTGGAAAGACCGGTGTGTAGGTTTGAGATCGGTGTCTTTGATCACTTCTCTTGGGCAATACTTATTCGTTTGGACATCTACGAAATTTCTTTGCTAATAAAAACGACTTTCATGCAACGATGTGTACCTGCGTATTAATCGGACGCGATGTCCATTTGTCCGATGTGATGGTTATTATACTATAATGATCGTTGATGGAAGGGATTGACTTTCTTGTCGCTGTTTAACACTAGAACTACTGATCCATAACGTGTCTAGATATAATTTATATATATAAATAATAATCAAATCGGTGTGATAAAAATATTTTATTTCAATTTGGTTAATTTTGTAAGAATTAAAAATGGAATATTGTTATTTTGGTTAATTTCATAGTTCTAGCGTTAATGGTACAAACTATTTCGTTCATCTCTTACGCTTTCGTGTTTCTATGATTTCCAAGTGCGTCATATAAAATAAGCATAACAATAAAAATGCATTATTTATTGATAAAAAGGTGTATCCTTTCGAAAGACACCATTAGTTATTCGTCATTTTGACGAGAGTTCCTTCCATGAAACAACGTTGCTGAGAAAGTAACGAGATGAAAGCTACGAAAGCATACGAAACGAATGAAAAATGTTCTAGGAGTGGCAACAATAAGCTTCATAGATTGTCGAATTGAACGCGTGAGATGTAGACAGAAAGTGAAACCATAGAGAGAAAGACACCTTTGCTACCTTCGTGTGCCACGAGGTAACGTTCTGACGGAACTCGTTGCTTTTACCTCAGAGTCGAAGGATGTTAGCCTGCTGAGGAACTTTCCTTTTTTGGTGAACATGTCGAGGAACATATCCGTGGTTGATTGGCTCCCTTCGTGAGCGGGTGGTGGATGGCTGTGTGGCATTTCCAAATGGACTTGAGGCGCGTCTACGATTAAATCGTGATAATTCTTATTAAATCGACTCTTAGATATCGATAAATTATAACATAACTTAGAACAAACATATCAATACATATTTCCACCTAATCCTATCTCATGTCATACGTGAGACACTATATGTGTACAAGAAATAAATTTCGGTGATTCATAAGGGATTTTTTTAGATTTTGATCATTCACAAAGCTTCGTAAAGAGGAATGTAAATTATTATGATTATTAAATATAATGGAATAAAGTGCACTGAAAGGTATGACTATTTTTTGGTAGGAAGAAATAGGTAGAGAGCCCCGTTATTTTTTCTCGGGGTAGCAACAGCTTTCTGCTATAATTTTCTATCGAATTCTGTGTATTTCGATGTACCTGATTTTTGGTGTACGTCTGAGAATTCGGGCTGAGTAGGAGACTGTGGAGACTTCAAGTTCTCTCTGCTGCCGAATGGACTAGATGCCTGAAAGAATTATAAAGAATCGTGAGAAATGTCGATAATCTCGAGAAAGTCAAATGATTTGCATAAATGGTACAGACTTGAGATATTAAAGAACTGTCGAAACCTCCCTCTGCGAGGTCCTTGCTCCAATAATGAGTGTGTGCGATCTCCATTAGCTGGTAAACCGACGCCATTCCGCCCAGACCAAAATTATTGTAAGTGTGTCCAAGACCGTGAGCCACTGCTTGAAGGCACTTTAGCATTCCCTTGTAAACTGGCTTCGAAATGCACTGTTGGAATCATGATTTCGTAAAGCGTACGAATTTTAGATAATTAATTCTAAGAATTTTAAACTCTTCCTTCTATACTAACCACATCGTCGATATGGTCGTCAGGACTGATTTTCTTATTGAGACCTTTATTCAGCTTCGTCACCACCAAGTCCCGATAGCTCTCATCCTCCATGAGCTTCTTCAGCCTGTTTAATTTCAACCAACCAACACCTTCGCCACCTAAGACTTGGTTCACCACCTGAAATAAATTTCATATTTTAGATAAATCGATCTATAAATTAGTTCATCGCTACAGAAGCTATATATGTAAAGAAATAAATGTGAAACTATAAATAACAGTTATATAAGTATAGACAGAGCTATCTTGTGCAGGCTTCAACTGCCTCCTTCCCTTAAAAATGAAATAAAATGAACAAAAGTAACTAAAGAGAGCAAATTTTCTTATAATAATTATAATATTTATTTGAGGTACTTATTTATTATTAATAATCATAATTAATGTAAATTATTTATTTATTATTCATCATAATTAATGTAAAACTATCCTTTCAAAATCGTTATTTTAGAAGGGGATGTACCACATCTAAGTGTAGGAATATAAATAAAAAGTATATAGATGTGCAATGTTTTAGATTATTAGATTTTTGGTTTAAGAAACTTACGTCTGTCAGGAAAGCTTGATTGTCGCTGTTTGTACTAGACCTCTCGGCGTTCTGCATCCTCTGGATATCTTCCTGACTATTCCTCGTGGAGTGTTTTATCAGCGACGAACGTTCAACCAGACCCGTTCTACCTGGATAAAGAAATTATGTTTGAAGTACCATTCGCATACACGCTTAACTATAATTACAATAAAACGATTAATAAAATAATCGAATGGTACTTTTAGGGAAGGGTCCGAGAGTCTTCTTATCTGCTTTCTGCGACTGAGGGAAACCGGTATTTCGACTAGAACTATTTTTACTGCCTGCAAACGTGAAAACAGGTACATGAAGAAATATCCCATATATGATTCTCAATCGTTCATTCCCCAAATTAATTAACACCAAAAAATAGAAAATAAGAACGAAAGATTTATCTTAAGTATAAAAGATTAAGCATCGATCGAGTACAATCTGATATTAGAATCTTCCAAAACTCAAAATATGGTGCTAATTATTTTAGTCTGCGAATGATTTATATTTTATTGTTTTCTAGAATAGGAAGAAAATGGCGGAACGTACCAAACAGATCGCTAAACATGTTGCTCGTTTGCGCAGCAATGCCGTTTAAATCACTACTAATATTGCTGAAAAAATCACGACTGATTTCCCTGCGTCCTCCGCGATTATCTGAAGCGACCAATTGCGTACTACTCGAATCCCTTCGTTGTAACATCCCAGGAGGTGATGGGGGTGAATGCTGCGAGTCGCCCAGGCCCTGGAAGCATTAATTTCGTTAACACTAGAACTACCGACCTCTACTATATACCTAAGTACAGCACGCGTAAATAACGTTAATTAAGAATAGTACGAAGATAAATAAATATAATTATGCCTCTATCTCAATAAAAGTCGATATTAATCCGATCAATGTTAATGCACCTTCAGCAACTGTAAATTCTGAAAATCTGAAATCAATTATCCCGGCACGTTTGATAGTTCTAGTGTTAAGTCACGTCTATTCAAAAGTATCAATTCGAATTTCCTCTTTGAAAAAGATCTTCTATATTTTCGATTTTTAATTACATTTTTTCCGAGCTGAACAATTTAATAGGTTTAACATTGTAGTACAATTTTGTCATTTTTTTTCTTTTTTTTTTTTTTCTTTTTTTTAAATTTAATTGTTGCATTGATATCTAGATCATTAGCAACGAAGACAAATCCTCTAGTTGGAGCTTGTAGAGTTAGGTGAAGATAGACCAAGGCTGAGCAACATGGAGTGTCAGCTAAGTTCAAATCTACATCTTTATATACGTTAATTTATATACTCTATAACCACTATATAGTAGCAGTCTGATGGATGTTACTTGCAAAAGCTGCAGACTGGTGGTTAAGCTGTTTTCGATATATACTTGTATAATTTTAGAGTATTTATAGAACTCGTAGAATATTTCAGAGATTTCTAGGATTTATATGATATTAGAGATTCGTAGAATTTGCATAATATTTGTGCTCTAAGTCTTGCTACGACCATCCTTTTCCTCTGCTCGTGTTAAGTATTGTCAGGTTATAGGTGTTTGATGATAAAAATTTTGTACTAATAGTGAGTAGTTAAATATTGGTGTCTTTGGTCTTAATCTATTCTATCCTTTCTTTTCCACTTTATGGATTAATTTCTGGAGGTCTTGGTCTGAAGTTGGAATTTTGCTTTAATTTCTTAGACCTGTTGCTGCTTCTTTAGCCATTACATCGGCTTTTTCTGTGATACCCTGATAGGATGGAACTCGGGTGATGTTACATTTGGGGAGGTTCGCGTAGATTTCTTAACAATTTATATAATTTTCTCATATAGTTCTTCATATTTATATTATTTATTGCTTGCATTGAACACATAGATTCCACATAGATGACAGGATGATGAAGATTATTCATTTCTATAAAGTGCAGGATTTCGAGAATTTTTTATTCTCATTTTACGACTCGAAGAGACGTTGTTTTTTTAATTAATAGCGTTCTCTTAATAATTTTCTCAGCAACAATGGAGAGTGTTGTCCCTTCTTCGATTCTAGATACGTCGATATTGCATATTTTATTATAGCTCTTTTATTTGTTGTTTAAATTTAGAGATTCTATTTTTTCTCTTCTATTGCTCTTTTCGTCTTTTCGATAATGCATCGGGTTGGTAATTTTATCTTCCTCTCACGAAAGAATCTGCTCGTAAGAGTCTCAAAGGAATGAAAAAAGAATAGTAATAAATAGACGTACCTTGAGCAAACCCTTCTTCGCAGCAACTTCTTTGGCACTCTTCGTCAGGTCTCCGAAAGTGCTCTTGCTCACGTACGTTAAATCATCGAACGTATTTTTACTGACTCCAGCCGCGGTTTTACTCGCTTCCAAAGCAGTCTTCGAGGCTTCTTGAACGGATTTCGTTGCCTCTCCTACGGCTTTCTTCGTCTGTTGCGTCAACTGTTCGATATTTCCAAATCCCAATGTCATGTTATATATTTATAATACCAGTATCACATTTAAATTACCGAGTAATTAGAAGCACATTTAAACTACTTAATTCGAGATACGTGAAACAAATTTTGAAGTCGAGACGTACCTGTTCCAATGGTGCAAAGAGACTATCCTCTCCAGCCTCTGTGATTTTCTCCTTTGCTTGATGTTTAAGCTGTTAAACAGACGAATATTTCTTTTTTCAAACAAGCAGTTGCAATGACACGAAGTTTATTAAGAGGCAGACCAGTATGACATAATCTTTATCATGAGCTTTCTTTAAAAATTCGTAGAAAATGATTGAACGAAGGTACCCTGTAAATTTTTCACAGGCTTTACTTAGAACGACATAGAAAAATTGAAGAATACCTTGTCCATCTGAGCAAGAAGTCCATCCTGGCTGCTCTGCCTGGTAGTTTCGCGTACCAAGTCCTTGGCCTGGCTCGCTATCTGCTCGAACAGCGATCCTTGAGACCCCTGTCGTAGAACACCATTCCCAGTGACACCAGGAGAATCCTGCCTTTGTCCAGTCTCGGTGGGTTGCTTCTGCGTAGTGGTACCCAACGAAAACTGTCGAGGAACCGTGGAATCGCCCTCGTTGCTGCTATTGCTGCTGGGTTGCCGAGGCAGAAATGGTCCTCCTGTTCCAACGCTCGATGCCCTCGCCAAGACGTTTCCGACACTTGGGTGACGCTGGAGACTCGCTGCGCTTGGTTGGATCTTCGACATAAGATAAACTGATTGATCATCGGATGAATATCACTTAAATGAGAATCCTTGAGGTCGGAATCAAGACATAGTGACACGTTAATCTTTCAGAAATGATTCTCGATGAAACACCATGTAAGTTTAAAGTGATTCGAGGTTGACTGATCAGCGAGGTACTATGAGATGAAGGATCATGTTGCATGCAGCCTTACAGACTTCGCGAATTTTACGGTATAAGAATTAATACGTAAAAGATGTATCATGCACTTATTTAGTATTCTTAAAAACTTCTTGAGTTAGGAAAAATTCTGTTTTACGAACTACCAATACCATTAGATCAGAACAGATTTGCCAATTAAACTCGCTGCAGATGATAAAGACAGGAGCAACAAATAGTTTTAATACCAACATTTAACCCTTCGCATTCCATTCACATTACCGTAGAAACATCGACAATCTATGGAATTTAAACGAAGTGAAAAGATCCTCAAAGTGCAAAGGATTAAATCAACGATACAGAATTTTCGGTAAAAATGATAAAGAATGTACGAAGAAATGCAAGATACTTTTATATCGCAGAAATACAAAATGGATCAATATATCGTACTGAAAGGTGAAAAAATCCAAACCATAGAATCTGAAAAATAAATTACTCCCAATACCGATTGAAAATTAAGGAAAAAATACGATAAAACGGGAAAAAAGGATTACATGGGAGAGAGACCAAGCTCTTTACAAGTGAAAACGAAACGAAAGGATGGTCCTGCAAGAATGTAACTCAATAACGAAACGTTCATCGACCAGAAAAGGGTTTCCCATGCTGAACGTATCGAGTAGAAAAACTGTACTTTCCACTGATACACCGCATGCAGAGTTCAAACGACAGCAAAATAAGGATCGATAGAAAGTAATCGACAGATGTTACACCGTAGAGACCACCAATGGAGGATGACTCACGGGAACGACATATCTACTGATACGAGAGGTCCTGTAGGGTGCGGCAGGACGTTCGGTGTCGCTGAAGCTCGGAGTGGCTAATGAACGGCCCTTCCCTACTCCGAACTGTCCTACCGAACTTTGTGCGCTCAGGATTGTGCGTGGTGTTATCGTGGATGTTGAGTCTGACTCAAAGCTACCACCCTCCTCTTTATCCTATGATCAAGCACTTGGTTAGGGTATCAAAAATAAAGTAAAATAAATTATGTTAAGAAGACTTTGGAGCTTTACAGTTCTCACCCAGCCTGCAATCCTCAGGATTGCAGCGAAAAGTGTGCTCCGATGAGTACCATAAGCTCCTAAAGTCTGTAAACCCTGTATTAATGGTGAATTTAATGGATCAATTTGGGGACGATGCAGAAAATGTCGTGTGAATAATTTATACATATTTTTGATAATTGTGTTTGTATAAAATAGGAGTTATTCAATTTTGAATGATTACAGGGTTTTAGAAATTGTTACGATTACTCATTTTCTTAAGAGGAATACTCCTTAGATCGACTAGCAAATTTTAGTTCACCCATGGAGAGACATCCTGTATTATCCTGTTAAATTCGTAGTATTTTGAATTTAGCATTTGTCATATTTAAAAAATATGAGAATGAAATTTTCTCTATGACAGTTGCGATGGATTGTGCGAAGATTAGTGGCCTAGATTTATTAAGTTCCCGTTTGAAGTTCGCTTATATTTAAAACAATTTCTATGTGCAAGTAGTCGATCGTATGAATTGGAAGATGTAGTTAGAAAATGTGATAATGCTCACATTGGTCGACTGCGAGCCTTCTACAGCTTTGGGGTTTAACTCGAATTCGGAATCCCTGTTGAAACTGGGGCTGCTCAAGTCACTGTGACTGGAAGAAGTGCTCAGTGGGCTTTCCGGTCTCACCGTCGACTCTTCTTCCACTCCAGGGTATTGCAACGAACTGGGTGGATTGTAGACGTTCTTTGGGTCCACAGACAGGGACATTTGCTGAGGCTGTGCTACTTGCGAACAATTGTAGCCTATGGAAAAGTAACATTCTCGTATTATTATCCGTAATCTTAGTATTAAATAACGAATTCAAATAACAGAAGCAAACCCAGTTTAAGAATAATTAATTCGACTCTCGATTTCCCTTAACTAGTACCAATCTCATTGATTCCATATATGTTATAACCAACAGAAGCTACTCTGATTAAACAGCCTAAACATACTTACTAGGAGACAAGTCTGACGACACCATCTCAGACACAAAATCGCTCAACGAGGAGTACGAAGAACTGGTGCTTTCCGCTCCCTCAGAGTCAGAACCGCTCTCGTCTGTTGGCTGACTTTCGTGTTCCTTGGTCGCCTTCAGTGCGGTCGCTAGCGAACTACCGTTGTCCCAAACAGGGAAAAAGATAGGCTCTAGATTCGAGGCGTACCACTTAGGCTTGTCTCCGATCTGTGCCGGGTCAAACACCCCAGTCTGCACCCTCAAGAAGGCCTCGTTGCTCGGAGTGAGGGACCACTCGGCTAAAAACTCCACCGCCTGCGTCCTGGCGAACTTGTTCAGGAAATGACTGGCCCGTGGCCTCGATCGGAGGAAGGAATTGATCTGGAAGGCGACCACGGGCCTCGGGTACAGCCTCAGTGTCCTCGTGTGTTCGGTGAAGTTCGCCAGGAGGTTCTGCGAGTTGAAGAAACGCACCATGGCCACCCTGGTCGCGATGTCCACCGAATCCACGTCGTTCCCGTAGATGAAAGGATTGAATGGCGGTGTGGTTTGAGAGGAGAGTGGTTTCTGCGGAGACGAGGAACCGGCTGATTGAGATCTGGAGGGTCGACGTTGATTGGAAGCCACGCTGGCACCTGGAGAACTGGCTGGACTTGAGTGCCCGTGGTGGTCGATGCTCGGTCTGTGCTTCATCGACGAAACACTGTGCAGAAGTATCAATTGTTAGATGATCTTTGAGAAAATTATTCATTCGACGAGTTCAAAGATCTCTGCACTGAATTGATAGATTGATTTCGAACGAAGAATTTGGGTGTCTCAAACTTTACTTAATTCTCAATTCTCGATACTTCTACTCTTCTGAATTCTTGGACTATGTTTATATACTATTCACTCTTTCGGTTGGTTAAGATCTGCAAGCCTCCCCCCGTATCTTGAATACACGAAACCCTTCTAACCTC